TTAGACAAGCGCAGCCACGTAACCTGGTAGAAGAAAAACGCTCAGAAGGAGCGCTTGTGGCCTCAAAACGTGCTAGGACCCGCACATGTGGAGGAAGTGCAGCGGGCGCTCTTCATTGTCAAGGGCCGATGACCAATGATGCTCGCAACCCTTCCACGCCCTTGCTGGCTTGGCAAGAGGCCTAGACAAGCGCAGCCACGTGACCTGGTAGAAGAAAAACGCTCACTGCGAGCGCTTCTAGCCTCAAAACACGCTAGGATCCGCACATGTGCAGGAAGTGCAGCGGGCGCTCTTCATTCTCAAGGGCCGATGACCAATGATGCTCACAACCCTTCCACGCCCTTGCTGGCTTGGCAAGAGGCCTAGACAAGCGCATTCACGTAACTTGGTGGAAGAAGAACGCTCACTGCGAGCGCTTCTAGCCTCAAAACGCGCTAGGATCCGCACATGTGGAGGAAGTGCATCGGGCGCTCTTCATTCTCAAGGGCCAATGACCAATGATGCTCGCAACCCTTCCACGCCCTTGTTGGCTTGGCAAGAGGCCTAGACAAGCGTAGCCACGTAACCTGGTAGAAGAAAAACGCTCAGAACGAGCGCTTCTAGCCTCAAAACGCGCTAGGATCCGCACATGTGGAGGAAGTGCAGCGGGCGCTCTTCATTCTCAAGGGCCGATGACCAATGATGCTCGCAACCCTTCTACGCCCTTGCTGGCTTGGCAAGAGGCTTAGACAAGCGCAGCCACGTAACCTGGTAGAAGAAAAACGCTCAGAACGAGCGCTTCTGGCCTCAAAACGCGCTAGGACCCGCACATGTGGAGGAAGTGCAGCGGGCGCTCTTCATTCTCAAGGGCCGATGACCAATGATGCTCGCAACGCTTCCACGCCCTTGCTGGCTTGGCAAGAGGCCTAGACAAGCGCAGCCACGTGACCTGGTAGAAGAAAAACGCTCACTGCGAGCGCTTCTAGCCTCAAAACGCGCTAGGATCCGCACATGTGCAGGAAGTGCAGCGGGCGCTCTTCATTCTCAAGGGCCGACGACCAATGATGCTCACAACCCTTCCACGCCCTTGCTGGCTTGGCAAGAGGCCTAGACAAGCGCAGCCACGTGACCTGGTAGAAGAAAAACGCTCACCGCGAGCGCTTCTAGCCTCAAAACGCGCTAGGATCCGCACATGTGGAGGAAGTGCAGCGGGCGCTCTTCATTCTCAAGGGCCGATGACCAATGATGCTCGCAACCCTTCCACGCCCTTGCTGGCTTGGCAAGAGGCCTAGAAAAGCGCATTCACGTAACTTGGTGGAAGAAGAACGCTCACTGCGAGCGCTTCTAGCCTCAAAACGCGCTAGGATCCGCACATGTGGAGGAAGTGCAGCGGGCGCTCTTCGTTCTCAAGGGCCGATGACCAATGATGCTTGCAACACTTCCACGCCCTTGCTGGCTTGGCAAGAAGCCTAGACAAGCGCAGCCACGTGACCTGGTGGAAGAAAAACGCTCACTGCGAGCGCTTCTAGCCTCAAAATGCGCTAGGATCCGCACATGTGGAGGAAGTGCATCGGGCGCTCTTCATTCCCAAGGCCAATGACCAATGATGCTCGAAACTCTTCTACGCCCTTGCTGGCTTGGCAAGAGGCTTAGACAAGCGCAGCCACGTAACCTGGTAGAAGAAAAACGCTCAGAACGAGCGCTTCTGGCCTCAAAACGCGCTAGGACCCGCACATGTGGAGGAAGTGCAGCGGGCGCTCTTCATTCTCAAGGGCCGATGACCAATGATGCTCGCAACGCTTCCACGCCCTTGCTGGCTTGGCAAGAGGCCTAGACAAGCGCAGCCACGTGACCTGGTAGAAGAAAAACGCTCACTGCGAGCGCTTCTAGCCTCAAAACGCGCTAGGATCCGCACATGTGCAGGAAGTGCAGCGGGCGCTCTTCATTCTCAAGGGCCGACGACCAATGATGCTCACAACCCTTCCACGCCCTTGCTGGCTTGGCAAGAGGCCTAGACAAGCGCAGCCACGTGACCTGGTAGAAGAAAAACGCTCACCGCGAGCGCTTCTAGCCTCAAAACGCGCTAGGATCCGCACATGTGGAGGAAGTGCAGCGGGCGCTCTTCATTCTCAAGGGCCGATGACCAATGATGCTCGCAACCCTTCCACGCCCTTGCTGGCTTGGCAAGAGGCCTAGAAAAGCGCATTCACGTAACTTGGTGGAAGAAGAACGCTCACTGCGAGCGCTTCTAGCCTCAAAACGCGCTAGGATCCGCACATGTGGAGGAAGTGCAGCGGGCGCTCTTCGTTCTCAAGGGCCGATGACCAATGATGCTTGCAACACTTCCACGCCCTTGCTGGCTTGGCAAGAAGCCTAGACAAGCGCAGCCACGTGACCTGGTGGAAGAAAAACGCTCACTGCGAGCGCTTCTAGCCTCAAAATGCGCTAGGATCCGCACATGTGGAGGAAGTGCATCGGGCGCTCTTCATTCCCAAGGCCAATGACCAATGATGCTCGCAACCCTTCCACGCCCTTGTTGGCTTGGCAAGAGGCCTAGACAAGCGTAGACTGTTAGAATCTAGCAGCAGGAATGAATGAACTAGCAGGATGCAGGAGTACAAGTAGTTAACCCTAATTTGGTTGTACCCCATATGGGCTACCCCACTACAGCCTAGACAATATGCTGCACATACAGTTTGACACACCCCCATAGGCAAAGTGGGGGAGAACAAGGGGTCACACGACCAGTCAAGAGAAGGGAAACAAGCTCAGGGTGGATCACAACGTCACCACGCATTCTGAGCACAAGCAAAGGGCCACAAGGCCAGTTCACATGCAGAGATATATATGCAGCAATAACAGTACAGTGATGGCTACCTAGCAAGAGCCAGCATGCAGGTATATATATAGATCACAGTACAAGCAGAGACTACAGCAAGTGTGGAAACGTAGGCACAAGGCCCAACAGAGTACAAAAGCGCTGATGATCACCAGACGGAAGTGCCTTGGTGAATATATCAGCAGTGTTGGCCCGAGTGGCCACGTGGCGAAGACGAAGCTGGCCTCGCTGCTGCAACTCTCGAGCCAGGAAGTAACGCAGAGCAATGTGCTTCGTTCTGTGCTCCAGTCTGTGCTCCTCACACAAGGCAATGGCGGCCTTGTTGTCAACGTACAGCACTGGAGGAGAACGAGGCTGCTCTCCCAAGTCAGTCAGCAGGTAGGTGAGCCAGCGTAACTCCTGTGCAGCCATGGCGGTGGCGTAGATCTCAGCCTCACAACTGGAGCTGAGAACTGAAGACGAGCGTGTAGAACGCCACGAAACTGAACCAGAGCCAAGGCTGAAGGTGTAACCCTGTGACGACCGCTGAGTAGCCAGGTCGTCAACCCAAGAAGCGTCTGAGTGCCCAGTGAGGACAACTGGGCTCGTCCCTCCAAGCACTAGCCCCATGCCTGATGTGCTGCACAAGTAGCGCAGTACCCTCTTAGCAGCAGCCATGTGCTCAGGTCGGTGCCGACCAGGAGCCACGTAGCGAGCGAGGAGACCAAGAGGGTACGCGAGGTCAGGTCGAGTGCAAGTCATCAGGTACATGAGGCAGCCGACTAGCTCTGGGTAAGGACCACTCGGCTCTACGGACTCGTCCGAAGGTGGAGCTGAGAGCGTGTGACCTGTAGCCAGAGGAGTGGCCTGTGCTGAAGACCAGGTGAAGCCGAAGCGCTGAAGGACCTGCTGCACCATGTGTGACTGAGTCAAGGTGATGGTGCGGCGTGCTCTGTCCCAGGTGATCTGCAAGCCAAGGTAGCTGCGCAGCTCACCCAAGTCTGTGCACGTGTGTCTCTTCTGCAGCTCCGACTTCACGTGGGCGAGAGCCTCAGTGTCAGCAGTGGCAAAAACCAAGTCGTCGACGTACACGAGGATGTAGAACGGCGGCAGTGAAGTGTCGGTGCGCAGAAACAACGACGGGTCAGCAGTAGAAGGCGCGAACCCAAGAGCCGCAAGCGTAGTCCTCAGTGTGTCGTGCCACTCACGTGGCGCCTGGCGGAGACCGTAGACCGGCCGCCGGAGGCTCCACTGGGTACTAGGAGGGAACGACCCAGTGAAGCCCGGGGGGCGGCGCAGCCAGATCTCCTCGTGCAGGCTGCCCTGCAGGAAAGCTGTGCTGAAGTCAAGAGAGTGAAGCTCGTAGTCACGGTGAGCAGCAACGTGCAGCAGCACCCGAAGAGTGGTCATCTTCGGGGTGGGGGAGAAGGTCTGGAAGAAGTCAACTCCCTCTCACTGACTGAAGCCTCGAGCCACGTAACGCGCCTTGAAGACAGGCGGAGAACCCGGCGGCCGCTTCACCCTGAAAATCCACATGCCACTGACGATGTTCGCCCCAGGAGGGGGAACCTCGTCAACGTAGGTGCCTGTGGACTTCCAGGAAGCCATCTCTGCGTCCATGGCTGCCTTCCACTGAGAGGAGTAGGGACCCTCTATCGCCTCTGCGTAAGAGCGCGGAGTCGGGATGTCTGGTGCATCCGGGTCTCCCTCAGGGGCAAGTAGCGAGGACACAAGATGAGGTAAAGCAGCAGCAAGACACTGGAACTCCTCCTGCCTGTCCTCAAGGACGTCCGTGCTAAGAGCACACTCACCCCCGACGGACGGAGGACAGACAGACTCAGACTCAGCAACAAGACTAGCGGCGTAGTCTAGACGACAGGCAGCAGCAAAGTCAACAAGCTCAGCGACCAAGGCAGACGCAGCAGTAGACTCAAACGACGGGTCAGTGACAACAGTGGCTAGGAGACGCGTGACAGTAGGGTGCTCAGTACGAAACCGGTCAGACTCAGGGTCCGGAACGGCAGGCAGAGAGGACGCAGGAGGAGACGGCAGAGGAACAGGCGGCGGAGCAGAGGAAGGACGACGGACTACGAGGTGTGCGCTGGGGACAGCCGGCTGACGCGAACGAGGAACACGACGACCGGTACGACCAGGACGAGCAGGCGAGACAGGACGCGACGCAGGCTCACGACGCTCAGCAGGACTACCAGTCTGCTCAGTGTAAGGAGAAGGAGCAGGCAGCGGTGAGCCAGGCAGTAACGGAAGACCAGTAGACGACGGAAGAGTAAGAACCTGACGAAGAACAGAGGCAGACGGCGGCAGAGACGACGGAGACGGCGGAGCGAAGAACAGTCGTGTCGGCGCAGCTGCACCAGTACCAGCAGCTCCAGCAGCTCCAGTGCCTCCAGCAGCTCCAGTACCTCCAGCAGCTCCAGTACCTCCAGCAGCTCCAGAAGCTCCAGGCCCAGAGCCGACACCTCGAGTCCCAGGGTCTCCAGCCTCAGTGTCTCCAGCACGAGCACCTCCAGAACCAGCAACTCCAGCACCTCCAGTAGACAAAGGACCAGCACGACTCCTAGCTCCAGCGGCGCGACGCTGACGGCGACCGTACCAGTCCTGCAGCTGCTGTGGGGTGAGAGGCACACGTGGACGAAGGCGGCTACTCCAAGGAGACCGCGCAACAGCAGACTCAGAACCCTCAGCGCCCGCACCCCCAACGGCTCCAGAACCTCCGGTGTCAGTACCCTCAGCACCAGTACCTCCAGCGGCTCCAGAACCTCCAGCGCGAGCACCCTCAGCAGCTCCAGAACCTCCAGCTCCAGCGCCACCAGGACTAGGCCCTCCAGCAGCTCCCGAACCTCCAGCGCCAGCACCCTCAGTAGCTCCAGAACCTCCAGCGTCAGTACCGCCAAGCTCAGCACCCCCAGACCCCTCACACTCAGGCTCAGCACCACCAGGCTCTACACCCTCAAGCTCCGCACCCTCAGGCTCAGTACCCCCAGGCTCAGCACCCCCAGGCTCCGCACCCCCAGAAGTAGCACCCCGAGCAGGACCACTCGCAGTAGGACCTGAGTCACCAGTGACCTCAACCGGCGCAGTCAAGGGAGGAGGGTCTACCTGAGAAACACCTGAAGGAGCAGGACCGGGAGCGGGGAGGGGGTCTACCTGGGGAGCACCTGGAGCGAGGAAGAGCGGCGGGGGGGGGAGCGAGGCAGTGCGGTAGGGGAAGAGACGGTAAAAGGGAACCGACTCGTCGAACGTGACGTCCTGAGACGCAAAGACACGGCGCGAGGTGGGGTGGTAAAACTGCCAACCAGGCGCGTCAGGGACAAAGCCAAGGAAGACACAGGGAACAGCGCGGACGGAGAGCTTGTCCGCGGTGGTATCGCGGACAAAGGCACGAGCACCCCAGACCCGGAAACGCGACGCATTGCCAACCTTCCCCGTCCACAGCAGTGTGGGCGAGGTCTCCGGCAAGGAGACACGGGGCCAGAGGTTGAGCTGATGCGCGGCGTACCGGACCGCAAACGGCCACAGAAAATGGGGGGCAGCCGCATGGATCATGGAGGTACGAGCGACCTCCATGACTATGCCAATGCGGCGCTCAGCAACCCCATTCTGCTGCGGAGAGGCCGGAAGCGTGAACGACTGGGTGATGCCGTGCTCCGCACAGTAGGCTGCCAAGAGGTCGGAGGAGAACTCACCACCTCTGTCAGAGTGCAGACGCAGGACAGGAAAGTCCGACCGGAACCGCTCGCGGAGCTGGAGACGAACTGCGCGGATCCAGGGGATCAAAACAGCAGGGACATCCGCCTTGCTCCGCAAGGGGAAGACCGTGGTGTAACGCGTGTAGTCGTCGACAACCAGCAGGAAGTACCGCTCGTGGCCCTGTCCCTGGACGCGGGCTGGGCCCCACACGTCCAGGTGGAGCGTCTGCAGTGGAGCCTCTGTGGGAGGAAACGAGGAGGAGTGAGGAGCGGCGCGTTGCCGCCCCTCGACGCAAGGAATGCAGGGCGGCGCAGGCGAGGGAGGGAGGGCAGGCAGAGACCTGGGGAGACCAGAGACCAGGGAGCGAGAGTGCATGCTACGCAGGCGAGGCAAGGAGGGGTGACCAAGGCGGTGGTGCCACAGGAGAGTGTCGTGCGACAAAGCGCGACACTCGCAGGGGGCCGCCAGCTGACCAGACGTAGACGCAGACGCAGCTACCTGAGGGGACTCAGTGGTCAGTGTGTACAGACTCGAGCCAGGTGCACGGGTGAACGTGGCCAAGTGCCGGCCCGTCCTAGCACACGTACAGTGAGTCACTCGCTGACTCGCAGGAGTGAACTGGTGAACCCCCCCATCCTGGAGGTCAGCTCCACTCACCAAGTTCGTAGAGAACGAGGGGAGGTAAAGACCTGACAGCGAGCCGGACGGGACGGCCGGACACGGCAGAACCGTGGAATAGTGGGCAAGGACTGGACCCCCAGAGGGGTCCGCCAGGGAGACCGGGACTGGCCGACGGAGCGGCGTGAGTGTGGTACAGTCGCGAAAGAAGGAGCGGGAAGCTCTTGAGTCAAGGGTGAAGGTGTGTGAGACCGCAGTGGGCGCAGTACCAGAGAGAGCAGACACAGCAGCACCTGAAGCCACGGCCTCACCAGTACCTAGAGCAGTAGACGTACTAGCACCGAGAGCAGCAGCCTCACCAGCACCTAGAGCAGGAGACGCACTAGCACCTAGGGCAGCAGCCTCACCAGGGTCAGGCGGTACGCACAGGCAACAGGCACGGTCAGCACTAGTAGACAATGCATACATGGCAGTGAGAATAGCATCATAGTCAAGCGCAAAGATATCTACCCTCTGTCCATGCAGCTCCAGCCAGGTGGGGAGCTCAGCCTCGTCGCCAAACACTGTGCGCCAGTCGTCGCTCAGACGGGCGAAGCAGCGGGACTGTGTGTGACCAAGCGTCCCACAAGGCTGACCAGTCCTAGCACCTGTGCGAATGACGTACGGGCAGCGAACTGTACGTGTAGACCTGCTACACTGAGCGTACCACTCCTGGAGCTGCCGAGGCATAAGTGTCTCGCGTGGACGCCCCTGCAGCTGCAGCTGGCCACTGCTAGACGCTCCCAACTGACCAGCCCCAGGGCGACAGCTACGACGGCTACCGCGACAACCCCAGCTAGTATACCACTCACTAAGCTGCTGGGGCGTGAGAGGCTCGCGTGAACGTCGCTGGAGCTGCATCTGACCACCTGCCAGTAGCAGTAGCAGCAGCAGCAGCGCGGGCAGGGCAGGCGTGGCAGGCAGGCAGGCAAGCAGGCAGGCAGGCAGGCAGGCAGGCAGGAAGGCAGGCAGGCAGGTAGGCCGGCAGGCAGGCAGGCAGGCAGGCAGGCAGGCAGGCAGGCAGGCAGGCAGGCAGGCAAGCAGACAGGCAGGCAGGCAGGCAGGCAGGCAGGCAGGCAGGCAGGCAGGCAGGCAGGCAGACAGACAGGCAGGCCGGCAGGCAGGCAGGCAGGCCGACAGGCAGGCAGGCAGGCGCGCAGGCAGGCAGGCAGGCCGGCAGGCAGGCAGGCAGGCAGGCAGGCAGGCAGGCAGGCAGGCAGGCCGTCAGGCAGGCAGGCAGTCGCTCACCAAAGGCTGGGAGAGCAGGCGCTCACCGGGCGAGCAGGGCCGGCGCTCGACAGCGGCGACGTCGGGGCCGCAACACCGGCTGCAGAGCAGGGCCGAAGCAGCTGCAGGGCGGGGCCGCCTCAGCGGCAGTAGCAGGGTGGGGCCGCGTCAGCGGCAGGTCGGGGCCGTGGCAGCTGCAGGGCGGGGCCGCATCAGCGGCAGGTCGGGGCCGAGGCAGAGGGCCGCGCGCGGCTCGGCGCGGGCTGCGCGGACAGCGCGCGGAGCTGCTGCAGGCCGCGCGCGGCTCGGCGCGGGCTGCTGCGGGCCGCGCGCGGGCCTCGCGAGGCCGTAGCAGGCCGCGCGCGGCTCGACGCGGGCTGCGTGGGCCCGGCTGCAGCGGGCTGCGCGCGGCTCGGTGCGGGCTGCGCGCGGCTGCAGCGGGCTGCGCGCGGGTCGGTGCGGGCTGCGCGCGGCTGCAGCGGGCTGCGCGCGGCTCGGTGCGGGCTGCGCGCGGCTGCAGCGGGCTGCGCGCGACTCGGTGCGGGCTGCGCGGTCTCGGTGCGGGCAGCGCGCGGCAGCAGCGGGCTGTTTGCGGGCCTGACGGGCGTGTAGAGGCGGCGCGCGGGCCTTACGGGCCTCTAGGGGCAGCGCGCTGGCCTAGGGCAGCAGGAGGCAGCGCTTGTGCAGCACGTCACAAGGCAAGGCAAGGCAGGCAGGTACGTGGGGTAGCGCGGTAACCGCAGCGGTAGGTGGGCCCGAAAAAAAACGGTCCTACGGACCTTAGTGCTCTGATACCATGTTAGAATCTAGCAGCAGGAATGAATGAACTAGCAGGATGCAGGAGTACAAGTAGTTAACCCTAATTTGGTTGTACCCCATATGGGCTACCTCACTACAGCCTAGACAATATTCTGCACATACAGTTTGACATAGACACGTAACCTGGTAGAAGAAAAACGCTCAGAACGAGCGCTTCTAGCCTCAAAACGCGCTAGAATCCGCACATGTGGAGGAAGTGCAGCGGGCGCTCTTCATTCTCAAGGGCCGATGACCAATGATGCTTGCAACCCTTCCACGCCCTTGCTGGCTTGGCAAGAGGCCTAGACAAGCGCAGCCACGTGACCTGGTAAAAGAAAAACGCTCAGAACGAGCGATTCTAGCCTCAAAACGCGCTAGGATCCGCACATGTGGAGGAAGTGCAGCGGGCACTCTTCATTCTCAAGGGCCGATGACCAATGATGCTCGCAACCCTTCCACGCCCTTGATGGCTTGGCAAGAGGCCTAGACAAGCGCAGCCACGTGATCTGGTAGAAGAAAAACGCTCACTGCGAGCGCTTCTAGCCTCAAAACGCGCTACGATCCGCACATGTGCAGGAAGTGTAGCGGGCGCTCTTCACTCTCAAGGGCCGATGACCAATGATGCTCGCAACCCTTCCACGCCCTTGCTGGCTTGGCAAAAGGCCTAGACAAGCGCAGCCACGTGACGTGGTAAAAGAAGAACGCTTACTGCAAGCGCTTCTAGCCTCAAAACACGCTAGGATCTGCATATGTGGAGGAAGTGCAGCGGACACACATCATTCTCAAGGGCCGATGACCAATGATGCTCTCAACCCTTCCACGCCCTTGCTGGCTTGGCAAGAGGCCTAGACAAGCGCAGCCACATGACCTGGTAGAAGAAAAACGCTCACTGCGAGCGCTTCTAGCCCCAAAACGCGCTAGGATCCGCACATGTGGAGGAAGTGGAGCGGGCGCTCTTCATTCTCTAGGGCCGATGACCAATGATGCTCGCAACCCTTCCACGCCCTTGCTAGCTTGGCAAGAGGCCTAGACAAGCGCAACCACATGACCTAGTAGAAGAAAAACGCTCACTATAAGCGCTTCCAGCCTCAAAACGCGCTAGGATCCGCACATGTGGAGGAAGCGCAATGGGCGCTCTTCATTCTCAAGGGCCGATGACCAATGATGCTCGCAACCCTTCCACGCCCTTGATGGCTTGGCAAGAGGCCTAGACAAGCGCAGCCACGTGATCTGGTAGAAGAAAAACGCTCACTGCGAGCGCTTCTAGCCTCAAAACGCGCTAAGATCCGCACATGTGCAGGAAGTGTAGCGGGCGCTCTTCACTCTCAAGGGCCGATGACCAATGATGCTCGCAACCCTTCCACGCCCTTGCTGGCTTGGCAAAAGGCCTAGACAAGCGCAGCCACGTGACGTGGTAAAAGAAGAACGCTTACTGCAAGCGCTTCTAGCCTCAAAACACGCTAGGATCTGCATATGTGGAGGAAGTGCAGCGAACACACACATCATTCTCAAGGGCCGATGACCAATGATGCTCTCAACCCTTCCACGCCCTTGCTGGCTTGGCAAGAGGCCTAGACAAGCGCAGCCACATGACCTGGTAGAAGAAAAACGCTCACTGCGAGCGCTTCTAGCCCCAAAACGCGCTAGGATCAGCACATGTGGAGGAAGTGGAGCGGGCGCTCTTCATTCTCTAGGGCCGATGACCAATGATGCTCGCAACCCTTCCACGCCCTTGCTAGCTTGGCAAGAGGCCTAGACAAGCGCAACCACATGACCTAGTAGAAGAAAAACGCTCACTGCGAGCGCTTCCAGCCTCAAAACGCGCTAGGATCCGCACATGTGGAGGAAGCGCAATGGGCGCTCTTCATTCTCAAGGGCCGATGACCAATGATGCTCGCAACCCTTCCACGCCCTTGCTGGCTTGGCAAGAGGTCTAGACAAGCGCAGCCACGTAACCTGGTAGAAGAAAAACACTCACTGCGAGCTCTTCTAGCCTCAAAACGCGCTAGGGTCCGCACATGTGGAGGAAGTGCAGCGGGCGCTCTTCATTCTCAAGGGCCGATGACCAATGATGCTCGCAACCCTTCCACACCCTTGCTGGCTTGGCAAGAGGCCTAGACAAGCGCAGCCACGTGACGTGGTAGAAGAAAAACGCTCACTGCGAGCGCTTCTAGCCTCAAAACGCGCTAGAATCCGCACATGTGGAGGAAGTGCAGCGGACGCTCTTCATTCTCAAGGGCCGATGACCAATGATGCTCGCAACCCTTCCACGCCCTTGCTGGCTTGGCAAGAGGCCTAGACAAGCGCAGCCACGTGATCTGGTAGAAGAAAAACGCTCACTGCGAGCGATTCTAGCCTCAAAACACGCTAGGATCCGCACATGTGCAGGAAGTGCAGCGGGCGCACTTCATTCTCAAGGGCCGATGACCAATGATGCTTGCAACCCTTCCACGCCCTTGCTGGCTTGGCAAGAGGCCTAGACAAGCGCAACCACGTGACCTGGTAGAAGAAAAACGCTCAGAACGAGCGCTCCTAGCCTCAAAACGCGCTAGGATCCGCACATGTGCATGAAGTGCAGCGGGCGCTCTTCATTCTCAAGGGCCGATGACCAATGATGCTCGCAGCCCTTCCACGCCCTTGCTGGCTTGGCAAGAGGCCAAGACAAGCGCAGCCACGTGACCTGGTAGAAGAAAAACGCTCAGAACGAGCACTTCTAGCCTCAAAACGCGCTAGGATTCGCACATGTGCAGGAAGTGCAGCGGGCGCTCTTCATTCTCAAGGGCCGATGACCAATGATGCTCGCAACCTTTCCACGCCCTTGCTGGCTTGGCAAGAGGCCTAGACAAGCGCAGCCACGTGACTTGGTAGAAGAAAAACGCTCACTGCGAGCACTTCTAGCCTCAAAACGCGCTAGGATCTGCACATGTGCAGGAAGTGCAGCGGGCGCTCTTCATTCTCAAGGGCCGATGACCAATGATGCTCGCAACCTTTCCACGCCCTTGCTGGCTTGGCAAAAGGCCTAGACAAGCGCAGCCACGTGACTTGGTGGAAGAAAAACGCTCACTACGAGCGCTTCTAGCCTCAAAACGCGCTAGGATCCGCACATGTGGAGGAAGTGCAACGGGCGCTCTTCATTCTCAAGGGCCGATGACCAATGATGCTCGCAACCCTTCCACGCCCTTGCTGGCTTGGCAAGAGGCCTAGACAAGCGTAGCCACGTGACCTGGTAGAAGAAAAACGCTCACTATAAGCGCTTCTAGCCTCAAAATGCGCTAGGATCCGCACATGTGGAGGAAGTGCAGCGGGCGCTCTTCATTCTCAAGGGCCGATGACCAATGATGCTCGCAACCCTTCCACGCCCTTGCTGGCTTGGCAAGAGGCCTAGACAAGCGCAGCCACGTGACCTGGTAGAAGAAAAACGCTCACTGCGAGCGCTTCTAGCCTCAAAACGCGCTAGGATCCGCACATGTGGAGGAAGTGCAGCGGGCGCACTTCATTCTCAAGGGCCGATGACCAATGATGCTCGCAACCCTTCCACGCCCTTTCTGGCTTGGCAAGAGGCCTAGACAAGTGCAGCCACGTGACCTGGTAGAAGAAAAACGCTCAGAACGAGCACTTCTAGCCTCAAAATGCGCTAGGATCCGCACATGTGCAGGAAGTGCAGC